GTTTCAACAAGAGAATCTTACAGCACACTTGTACAATACCCCTGTTTCCTAAAAAAAATTGCTGTAATGCCACATCCTGAACCTGTGATTTGAGTTCTGAAATCAAACAATATGCACAATGAGAATCAGTCCAATGTTGAATGGAATGCAGTAGAATGACCAAGCAGGAGGAGGACATCTCCATAGTTCTCACAGTCCAAGCAAGCCTACAGAAAGGGAAAATCCGCGGGAAGTGTTGATAGGATGACCTTGGCAATCCCCCAAAAAGCCTTTTGGATTTTGTTTTTATTCAGACCCAGTGATGCTTGGGATACCATAGGGGATGCTGGACATTGAAGGTAGGCAGCATCTATAAGGCGAGCACCCACTGTGTTGCACTGCTGTTCTCGTCCTAATGAACTTCACTATGGGCTCACAGTCACAATTTAACATACACACAATAAAACAATTTTTGGTGCGTACAAGCGAACAGCAGGTAGGCATTTGCCTTGCATGAGGCTGACAGGGGTTGATCCTTAAACACTGTCAAAAGCAACTTACGAGAACCACCAGGAATAACTGCTGAGCATCCCCAGGCCCCAAAACAAAAGAAAACTAAATTTCTTCCCATATTCAAAAAACCATGGCAATGATCCAAAGGCAAAGATATGCATGGTGCAAGATTGACTGAGCAGAGTCCAGAAAGAGCACCTGACCCTTTAGGTGTACAGCCAGGCTAGTTATACAGCCGGGGACACAAGGGCCTTGAAACACATGGACTACTCGACATATCTGATAGATAAGGAAGAATGACAACAAAGTCAAGAAAGCAAAGCATAGGATCTATCTGTAATGAAAAGCTCCAGGGAGAAGACACCCCTACCCCATGCCACACCTCCACATCACATGGCCTAGTGATGAGAAGGGGATACTCAATGTCCAATGAGCAACTCAAAGATGCTGTGGATTGGAGGACTCCTGGGTTGGCCACACGCAAGGCAAGCATCCTACTTGCCCTACTATTGCTCTGGCCATTTCTAAATAAATCGAAGAAAACGGGAAAAAATGGGAGAGCAATTACAAAGCTTTCAGGTTTAATTCTCGGTCATACAATGAAACACCCGTCATTTCACCGTGCCCATTTCCCACCACTAAAAACACAAGTATGCCGCCATTCCACAGTCTCCCAATAACTATGGGGCAGATAATTTCCACATTCTTCTCTCTACTTTGATTACATTCAATAGGTTGACTCGAGACCACCATTATTATTTGGGATTTTACCCCAGCACTCAGATCTGGCGAAAACGCAACATCGACAATTCTTTTTTGATGGCTGGTTAAAAATAACATATGATTTTGGAATTCTGAAATTTTAACAACTAAATCTGGAGGGATTTCTGCCAAAACCTGCTGGGTTCCGAGATTTGTTCCTGAGTCTCTGGGATAATGGCCATTAAACAACTTTACCATGAGCCAGAGAGGCGGTTCGTGGGAATGACATAGGCTCTTGTTGGGGAGGGGAGGAATTGGCCGGCTCCACCCCATCCTGAGAGACCCCACGTATCTTCCTGAGTGAGGGCCCAAACCTGACTTTACAAAGGCCTTTGGAGGATGGAGGCCACCGAGCCACCACGTGGGAGTAGTTGGGGGGGCAGCTCCAATTTCCCCTGCGGTGGACCAGGGACAGTAACCTTCTGCAGGGTCCAGATGCATTTCTGCTAAAAGGCGCTGGGTTTCGAGATTTGTCTCTGAATCTCTGGGATCATGGCCATTACGCACCTTGATCACGAGCCACATAGGTCAATCATAGGTGACAGACAACTCGGGGTTTCGTTGGGGTGGGGAGAAAAGGACCGGCCCCACCACCATCCAGTTAGGCCCTGCATGTCTCCTCACAGCAGTTCCAAACCTAACCATCCAGAAGCCATTAGAGATGGTGGCCAGTGAGTCGCCAGGCATGAAACCTATTGCCACCTGAAATACCCAGCTTTGGTAACCTACTGTAGGGACCAGACACATTTCTGCTGAAAGCCGCTGGATTCAGAGATTTGTTACTGAGACTCTGGGATCATGGCCGAGTGATCAAGAGCCAGAGAGTCTGTACATGTACAGCGACTCAGGGTCTCATTGAGGTGGGGAGGAAAGGGCAGAGTCCACCCCAATCCCATGAGGCCCCGCATGTCTTGTCACTACAGGCCCAAACCTGTCTGTCCAATGGCCTCTGGAGGATGATGTCCACCAAGCCACCAAGTAGGATCAGGCGGAAAGACACACCCTTTCCCCCTTGTGGTGGTCTGTCACTGGTAAATCATTGTGGGAACAGGGCGCATCTCTGCAAAAAGCCGCTGGGTTCTGAGATTTGTCTCTGAGTCTCTGGGATCATAGCCTTTAAGCAGTTTGATCAGGAACCAGAGAGACCTTGCCTCCAATTATATAGCTGAGCCAGAAATGGTTTGTTGGTGTGTCTTGCACATACCTAACTTTTGGCCGTTTACTTTATTGGAAGACTTTGCCCAAAGTTTTTGTTGTCTGGCCAAAGGCACAGCATCTATTTTGGAGTATCTGGAAGTCTGATGGTGCCATCATTCTGCTAATGCACTCGCCTTACAGACACAGATTGACCTGCTGGTGGTATCATACACCCGGGAAGTAGAAATTCTATATATGGAAAAAACAGCAATAGTGGGGTTGGACTCACTGTAAAGCGGATAGGATGCTTGCCTTGCTGATACAGGTCAAACCTCTCCATCCCATAGGAACCCAGCAGCACTGCAGAATAATTCCTGAGCTGCAGAACCAGAAGTAAACCTTGAGCATCAAAGAATCCCTTCCAACTCCCCTGAATTAAAAAAAAAAGCTATTAAAATTAATCCAAAGTGGGGCTGAAGTGATAGCAGAGTGGGTAGAACGTTTGACTTGCACATGACCAACCCGGTTTCTAATCTCAGCAACAATATGGTCCCCTGAGCTTTACCAGGAGTAATTCCTGAGTACATAAGCGAGAAGAAACCTATGTGAAATGCTGGATGTGACCCAAGAAGTAAAAAAAAAAATCCAAAGAGTAAACTTTCAGAGGCAAATCTCTCTCCTTGTCAAAACACGCCCCAAAGTCCCAAACCCAGCACGAAAGCCAATGAAAATGACCGATCACAAAAGTGTCCCTTTCCTTTGGGGGCTGCCCGTGAAGATATCTGGAGGTTCGATAAGTGTTATGTCCAGTCCAAAGGCTCCAAACATGGTACTGCGCAGTCCCGAGTAGGGAGGAATGAGATGGCCAAGACCCCCACTCTCTGCAGGCTCCTCACACCAAGGCCTGAAGTCCATGTGCCCACCCTCCAACCATCTTGGACATGGTTGCGATCGTGGCTGCAGAGGCCCTCAGGATAACGCACCCTCACCCATGACACTTGAGCCACAGAAGAGCCCCCAATGCACCCCTCAAAAGCTCCACATCCCCTAAAGCCTGAATATCCAGAAAAAGTAAATAAAAGCATGAAAGTGCCCTACAAGCTGGCGTGACCTGCCGCTCAAGTTCCCAAACCGGGATTTTCAGGGTGCTGAAGCATTCCAAATTCTAACACACGAAAGACTGAAGAATGAAGGTTTACCTGTTTTTCCATTTTCAAAGAATTCAGTGCTTCATCTTGGTTGATTTCTGCCATAATTCCCACCAAACAGCCCCTCTGGGCCAAGCCAGAAGCATAGCAAACAATAAGAGTAGTGAGTCGTGACAGCTCTGAGCAGGGGGATGTTTCTACACCTGTTCATTCAGTCACCTTCCTCCTTATTTTGATCACCAGGTCCCATTATTTACAAGTTAACACACAAGCAATTCTAAGCACTAGAATACTGGCATAGGTGAAGCCCGGGTGAAAATCAGCAGGTAACTTTCAGTGACATGAGAAGCCTGTTCCGAGCAGACAGGCTTACTTCCCTCTTAAATGCACTTTTTTAACAACCTTGTCTACTGTTTCCAAAGGAAACTTGCTTGACTGACTTGTCCTGTTCTGTCCTTAGAGACTGTTATTAAGGGATCAAATCATCCGGTATGAATTTTTATATGTTTATTATGGTGTGAGGGGTACATGAAGCCATTCCCACATTACTGACATTTATGCAGTTTGTCTCCAGTATGAATTCTCACATACTGAGTAAGAGAATAGCACCAAATGAAGATCTTCTCACAAGTCGGACACTGAAAATATTTCCCTCCACTGTGAATTTTCCTGTGCTTAGTAAGGATTCTGAATGGCAGAAGGCCTTCCCACATTTCTCGCATATATAAGTTTTTTCTCTGGCGTGAGTGCTACTTTGTACACTAAATCTGAGGCTTCTCAAAAGGCCTTTCCACATTTCTTACATGTATATGGTTTCTCTCCTGTGCGTATTCTCCAATGTGCATTAAGTATTGAAAACATAGAGAGGCCTTTCCACATTCCTTACATAAAAAGTTTCTCTCCAGTGTGAATTTTCCTATGTACACTAATATTTGAGACTGTAGCAAATGCCTTCCCACATTCCTTACATATATACGGTTTCTCTCCACGGTAAATTCTCCTATGTACAGTCAATTATGAGGAAGAAGTAAAGGACTTTCCACACTCCACACATATTTAAGACTTCTCTCCAGTATGAATTCTCATGTGCAGAGTAAGGGAAGAGAACCGTGTGAATGCCTTTCCACATGTCAGACACTGATAAGGTTTCTCTCTGAGATGAATTTTCATATGTGTAGTAAGTCTTGAAGCTCCAGCAAAGGCCTTTCCACATTCCTTACATATATATGGTTTCTATCCAGTGTGAATTTTCCTATGTACAGTAAGTTTTGAGGCTCTAACAAAGGCCTTTCCACATTCCTTACATATATGCGGTTTCTCTCCAGTGTGAATTTTCCTATGTTCTCTAAATGTTGAGGCCCAAGAAAAGGCCTTTCCACATTCCTTACATATATATGGTTTCTCCCCAGTGTGAATTTTCCTATGTTCACCAAGAGTTGAGGCTACAGCAAAGGCCTTCCCACATTCTTTACATATATACGGTTTCTCTCCAGTGTGAATTTTCCTATGTACACTAAGTCCTGAGGCTCTAGCAAATGTCTTTCCACATTCCTTACATATATATGGTTTCACTCCAGTGTGAATTTTCCTATGTACACTAAGTCCTGAGGCTCTAGCAAAGGCCTTTCCAGATGCCTTACATATACACGGTTTCTCTCCAGTGTGAATTCTGCTATGTATACTAAGTGTTGAGGATTCAGCAAAGGATTTCCCACATTCCTTACATATATACGGTTTCTCTCCAGTATGAATTTTCCTATGTACAGTAAGTTTTGAGGCTCTAACAAAGGCCTTTCCACATTCCTTACATATATGCGGTTTCTCTCCAGTGTGAATTTTCCTATGTTCTCTAAATGTTGAGGCCCAAGCAAAGGCCTTTCCACATTCCTTACATATATTTGGTTTCTCCCCAGTGTGAATTTTCCTATGTTCACCAAGAGTTGAGGCTACAGCAAAGGCCTTCCCACATTGCTTACATATATACGGTTTCTCTCCAGTGTGAATTTTCCTATGTACACTAAGTCCTGAGGCTCTAGCAAAGGCCTTTCCACATTCCTTACATATACACGGTTTCTCTCCAGTGTGAATTCTGCTATGTATACTAAGTGCTGAGGATTCAGCAAAGGCCTTTCCACATTCCTTACATATATGCAGTTTCTCTCTAGTGTGAATTCTCCTATGTACACTAAGACTTGAGGCTACAGCAAAGGTCTTCCCACATTCCTTACATAGATACGGTTTCTCTCCAGTGTGACTTCTCCTATGTAAACTAAGTTTTGCGGCCCAAACAAAGACCTTTCCACATTCTTTACATCTATACAGTTTCTCTCCAGTGTGAATAATTGCATGTCTACTGAGGCTTGACAACTGAGTAAAGGCCTTGCCACACTCCTCACATATATAAGGCTTCTCTCCACTATGAGTTTTCATGTGTCTATTAAGATGTGAGGTCTGAATAAAAGCCTTCCCACAAGTCTGACATTTATATGGTTTCTCTCCTGTATGAATTCTCCTATGCAAAATAAGATGTGCTGATCTATTGAAGGTCTTTCCACATTCTTCACATGTATAAGTTTTCACTCTTGCATTTATATTCATATGGTCACGATGGGGTAAACCTTGACTCACACTTTGTTCTCGAGGCTGACTTTTCTGGGGATTCTGTCCACTGAGGTTTTCTAAGAGAACACCACAGTGCTGAGAACATGGGGAGGCTCCCCCACATTCCTTACACGTAGATTGGTTCTGCTCACGGTGACTGTGGTTGAGGATGTGTTGCTGTGAGGGACTCACTATAAATAGTGCTCCACTACCTAGCAGGTGCCCCATTGGGGAATTTTTTGCCTGTGAACTGAGAATAACGCAGTCTAAGGAACTTTTTCCAGGAGAGGGCTTCTTCAGAGTGAGGTAGCTCTCGCCATTCTGATCACCCTCAGAAGACATCCCGCCTGTCTCTGCATCCTCAAAGGGCTGAGGGAAGGATTGCTCACTAGAGACATTGTCACAGAGTGTAGAATCAGAGACATTCCACTTGGGGTGGCACCTTTCCTGTAGAACAACAAAGGATTCTAATTATTGACTTATTCACTGAGTCTTCCTGACAAAAAACTGAGCCGTTCAGCTGTGGTTTCACACATATGCACCACACAAATGCAATTACCGACATATGAATTGTCATACGATAGAGTAATTTCATGTTACTGTAAGTTGGACACACAAAATTGATGGATGCAGAGTCAGTAAATTCTGTGCCTTTCTCCCCTTTAAATTAATGAAGGAATACAACTGGAAATAATTCCTTCTATAGAAAACGGAAGCATCTATTTCAAGAGAAAATGAAATAGATCCACATGCGGGTTTGGTTAAAGTTCCGTGTGGAACCTGTGATGCAGGGGTGAAGACAACGCTGCATCGTCACACAGCTGAGAGAGACCACGTGGCCATTGCAAAGCTCTCACCACAAGTTATGGCTTTCAGGATCAATGAAGTTTTTTGTTCTTTCTGTTTTGTAGTTTCTATTTATTGGGGTTGGGTGGGTGGAGGTACACACCATGCAGTGTCTAGGATCAGTTCTGTGGGTCTATGCTGTCTATGAGTTGTTTTGGGTAAGGACCATCCATCCATGCGCAAAGAAAGTATATTTATCACTGCACCCTCTCTAGGGCGCACCAATTAGCTTTCAAAACGACTACCACTGTCAAGCAAATCAAAACTCACAGTATATTTATACATGGTTTATTACAGCACGTAGTGAAGCTAAGGGTCCTATACTCTAAGCATCAGGCTTTGGAATTCCTCCCTGCCATTCCCAGCCTTCCACCTTAACAATCACATACTTGGTCCACTCCTGCTGGCATAATAATATTTGTTCTGATTTAGCGAATCTTACCAACTCACTCGTGCTTGCTGACTCCATTCCCAAATCAAAGTGCTGCAATGCCAAATCCTGAAGTCGCGGTTTCAGTTCTGAAACTGAACAAAACATGCAATTCAAGCACTTGTCCAAAAATGTAGCATAATGATGCCATGTAGTTAAGAGTATATTTCTGTGGTTCTCTTGAGTCCAAAGAGTCCCACACTAAATAAAAGATTCGGATAGTGGAAAACTGTGAGGATCTTGGCAATTCTACACTAGGTTTTGTTTTTGTTTTTGAGTAGACCTGGTAATGTTCGGGGAACCAGGTTACTGAATAAATTGTTGAACAGGTTACCTTCAGGCACTGCAAGGCACTCCCTGCTGTACTATCGTTCAGATCCAAACAAGCTCTGTTACGGTCTTACTTATTCGAAAGCCATGGAAGCAAATTACAGGATCATTATGTGACTGACAGTCCAGGGCAATGAAGAACAGCATGAGTGCGGCACAGACCCAAGGATGCAGGAGACCAAGGCCCCGGTTTTAGCAGCGTGTTTCCTACATGCTCAGCGCACCCATACGCTGCACAGGGCCTGAGCCAGGAAGGGTCCTCAGACACTCACCCGCACACATGCCTCTCCTCCCTGACCTCAGGGCTCCTCCTTCCAGCCATGAGATCACCGCAGGCTTCATCCCAGAGTGCCCTGCCCCAACAGAGACAGAGGTATGGATAAGTGACAGGGAAAAGGTGGCAGGTAAATCCCCATGTTTTCCTGATATAAGTGGGCATATATCTGAAAAGCATGAACAGAAAGTCCATTTCTAAACTGCCACATATTTCTAGTTATTCGAGAGGAAAGACCCAAGAAAATACCACAAATACTCTAGACCTGACCTTGTGTATGGCTGACAGGGGGTTGATCAGCACAGTATGTTGTTGGTTTTTTGTCTTCATTGGGGTCTCACCTGGCAATGCTCAGGGGTGATTCCTGACTCTGTTTTCAGAAATCACTGCTGCTGGTGCTCGTGAATGACATCGGATGCTGGGGATTTAACCCACGTCGCTGCTTGCATGAAAATCACTTTCCTCCCTCTACTGTCTCTCTAGGCCCAGCTGCACGTGGAGTTTCCTGAGCCCCTCATGAACTCATCACGGATTTCAGTAAAAATAAGTGCATAATAAATCTGGAAATGGCCAAGGGTGGCAAGAGACCCTTATTTTTTAAGCTGAAAAATGTATCCAGAAAGATAGCAGAGCAGGAGTTTCTCACGGACAATCCAGCTGTGAAACCCGATATCACCTAGGGTCCCTCATGCCAGCCAGGAGTGATCCCTGAGTGCAGAGTCCAGGAACAAACCCTAAGTCCTGCTGAAGTATCACAAGAACCATTAGAAGTAAATCCAAACACTGAAATAGGGCAGCGTCTAATGAGTTGAGAGACGAGATATCAAATTCCCTGTGGTGGGAGAGAGATAGTACAGCACATAGGACAGAAGCGCTGGACACGCATGTGGGTTTGATCCCTGGCAGCCCATATGGTTTTGGAGCAAGGCCTGGTATGGATCCTGAATACACAGGCAGGAATATCCCTAATTCGTAAGGAAAAAAGAAAATGCAAAAACCATCTGACTTGATGACTGGTGCAAATGTACTGGGGGTGAGGCACCAACACTTTAAGTTGCCAAGAGGATTCAGCCCACGGTACCCCATGGCCCCTGAGCACTCTTAGGAGACATCCTTTAGCACAGCGCCAGGAGAACTGTGGACTGCCCCCCCCCCCAACAAAGGAAACAGCAAAACCAATTAAACACACAAAAGTTCGTGTAGTACACAAAGTAAATTGATGCACCAATGGATGGAACTATTTAAAGGGAACTGAGCAATAACTGGGCAGATAGGGATCTTCCCATGGACACAGTCGAAACGGGTTGATATGAATCACACCATAGGATCCGGCTACCCCACACGAGAAATTACTGAGGATAAAGCTGAGAGTAAGGCCTGAGTATCCACAGGTGAACCCTAAAAAAAGAGTGAGGGAAGAGCTACTGCACGGCTGTCCAACATCCCAGCTCGTCACAGAGCTACAATTGGACACACAGCTGCCGCCCAATCCCAGAGAGCCCACGCGGGTCTGTTCAGACACGGTTGGCTCCACACTGCTCTCACCGACAGCCTGCAGATTCTGGTAGGTCTCCAGCATCACGTCCCTGTACAGCTTCCGCTGAGAGGCCTCCAGGCATGACCATTCCTCTGGGGTGAATTTCACAGCCACGTCATGGAAGGTTACTGCGTCCTGAGTCAGCACACAAAGAGAGTGGGAGTCAGTGTCCATCTTTGCCTCATTTCCACTACTCTGAGGCCAGGTCTCAGGGTCCTATATTGTCGCTGGGCCTCTCCACTCCAAATGAACCAGCCTCCATGCACATGCATGACTGACGGGCCTCCAAAATCACATAAGGCAACTGGATCTGCTAAAGTGGGAGGAAGTTATACAGAAGGTTCTTGTATGTATCTGCCTTTCCTGGTAACCTCCCGGCCAATTTGAGCACCACTGTTCCAGTGAGCACTGTAGAGAGGATCACCTGAACACAGACTTGTACGATCCAAAAGGCTATCCTGGTTGTAGCGAAAACCACTGCACGCTCAAAGATGCACCCCCACAGCACATGACCACTAGGATTGAGAACTCGACAGTCCATATAAACAACTACTCATGGCATGTATGCCTGTAGGAACTCACTGCTCAGGACTGCCCAAATCCCGCTCAAAGAAGGTAGAAGTTTCTAGACCCCAAAATATCTACAGACTCCAGCACAGACTCCAGCATAATATCCCTTTAGGATTCTTCTGAGAGGCAATCAGGTATGTTCATCCCTCTGGGGTGAAACTCACTGCCATGTTGACAGAGGTAACCACATCTTGAACCAGCACACACTAAGGGAGGATGAGGCCATCCCACTCCACACAATGGGGCCTGAGGATGAGACACTGCAGCACTCTAGGGGTGCTCAGGGAACTCCCTTCTCCCCACTCCAGAAGGGAGGAACTGACCTCCTCCAACACTTTAGGGTGATGGGCCCCAGTAGTCACTTGATGGAATCCTGATCTCCTACAATGGAACTATATTAGAAGGTGATGGACTTGCACGCAGTCACCCCGGAGACAAAGCCAATGAACAATGCTCCTGTGAGCACCGGGCAGAGTAACACCTAAGCACTGGCCCAGGAGGACCAAAAGAAAGCAACACTGGGTTGGACCAAAACTCTAGACTCTCCTCCCCCATGCCATACCGTCACATCACAGGTTCTAGGGATGAGTTTGGGGAAATCAATGTCCAGTGAGCAACTCAAAGATGTTGTGGACTGCAAGACTCCTGGGTTGGCCACATGCAAGGCAAGTACCCTATTTGCTGCACTATTGCTCTGGCATTTCTAAATATTTTTCCCAGCACACCAACAGTGACCCCTGAGCAAAACTCCCCTTCCCCATTCTCAAATATCTCCCTTTCAGAAAAAGATAAAACAAGTATACCAATGTACCCACCCTCAAGAGCCAGTTTTCCTGATGTTCTGGTCAGGGAGAGATGAAAAGAAAGGGATTGTTTGCAATTGGACATGTGGAAGTAGAAAATATTTTTGCAGGAGTATTGTTGTTTATTCAGCTATAGATTAGGCTGACTGAAATGGGCATTAACTCCACCTTACTTTATTTCCCTTTTTTGATAATTTTTTTAATCACCCTGAGAGAAGTTACAAAGCTTTCGGATTTAAGTCTCGTTCATACAATGAAGCACCCGTCCCTTCACCGTGCCCATTTTCCACCACCAAAACCCCAAGTATACCACCATTCCACACCCTCCTCCTAACTGTGGGGGCAGATTATTTCCACATTTCTATCTACTTTGACTGCATTCAATATTTTGACACCAGATCTACCATTATTACATTTGGGATTTTACCCCAGCACTCAGATAGATCAAAAAGGCAACAGTAGACAATTTGTTTTCTATTGCTGGTTATAAATAACATGATTTTGTAATTTTGAAATTTTAAAAACATGGAGGGATTTCTCCCAATACCTGCTTGGTTCCAAGATTTGCTCCTGAGTTTCTGGGATCCTGGCCATTAAGCAGCTTTATCAGGAGCCAGAGAGGTGGTTCGTGGGCATGATTTAAGCTACTGTTGGGGTGGGGAGGAAAGGGCCGGCTCCACCCCCATCCTGTGAGGCCCCACATATCTCGTCACTGGGGGCCCAAACGTGACTTTCCAATGGCCTCTGGAGGATAGTGCCCAGCGAGTCGCCAAGGGGGAGCAGGTAGAGAGACAGCACCAGTACCCCCTGGGGTGGTCCGGGGATAGTAACCTACTGCAGAGTCCAGACTCATTTCTGCCAAGACCCGCTGGGTTTTGAGATTTGTCTGAATCTCTGGGAACATAGCCATTAAGCAGTAGTGATATCAGAGCGGGTAGGATGTTTGCCTTGCACGGGAAAAACCCGGGTTTGAATCCCGGCAATAATACGGTCCCCTGAGCACTGCCAGGAGTAATTCCTGAGTGCATAAGCCAGGAGTAACCCCATGTGAATCGGTGGTTGTGACTCAAAAAGAAAAAAAAATTAATCCAAAGAGTAAATTTTCAGAGGCAAAAACCTCTCACTTGTGCAGACACGCCCCAAATTCCCAACCCGAGCACAGGAGCAAACGAAAATGAAGGACTGCAAAAATGTCCCTTTCCTTTGGGGGCTGCCTGTGAACATATCTGGAGTTTCTATAAGTGTTATGTCCAGTCCAAATGCTCCAAACAAGTCCCCGCACAGTCTTGAGTAGGGAGGTATGAGATGGCCAAGATCCACACTCTCTGCAAGTCCCTCACACCAAGGCCCAAAGTCCATGTGCCCACCCTCCAGTGTCATCTTGGACCTGGATGCTATCTTGGCTGCAGGAACCCTCAGGATAACACACCCTCACCCATAACACCTGACCCACAGAACAGCCCCCAATGCACACCTCAAAAGCTCCAAATTCCCTAATGCCTGGATATACAGAAAAAGTTTTTTAAAAAAGCAAGTGTGAAAACGCCCTACAAGCTAGGGTGTCCTGCCAGTCAAATTCCCAAACTAGGTGGTCCAGGGTGCTCAAGCATTTTTCTCCAGCATGAATGCTCCTATGTTCACTAAGTCTTGAGGCTCCAGCAAAGACCTTTCCACATTCCTTATATACAATTTCTTTCCAATGTGAATTCTCCTATATACATGAAGTACTGAAGCCATATCAAAGGCCTTCCCACATTCCTTACATATACAGTTTCTCTCCAGTGTGAATTCTCCTATGTACTGTCAATTGTGAGGATGTTGTATAGGCCTTTCCACACTCCACACATATATAAGCTTCTCTCCAGTATGAATTCTCATGTGTATAGAAGGGAAGAACAATGCGTAAATGCCTTCCCACATGTCTGACACTGATGAGGTTTCTCTCTAAGATGAATTTTCTTAT